TGAAGGTTGGGATTCTACATCCTTTCTAGCCTGATTCATTGTTTCCTGACATTCATGGAGTGTGCTGGACCACTAAGGTCAGAAGTTATGTCGACAACCTCTGGGGATTGCTTCCATAGCAGCTTGAAGAATACTTTTATTGAAATCGGAAAAGGATACACACACAAAACTTATAATTAATAAACAGATTGTACTAGTAGATGCGGCGTCCGTGGCTAAGGCGTTGCGAGTCCAACTCGTAAGCCAGCATACCGCGATCGAAACCCACTGCAGGCTGCATGGATTTTTGTCGTGGTATGGGGACGTCGCAGGTCGACCCAGCCTAAAATGGGTACCAGGATGGGCTGTCCTGGGAAAGTAAAGACAGCCGGCGTAATGCTGACCACATTACCCACAGAGTGCTGATGGTCTGTAAAAATATGGGACGCTCTGCCCATATGCCCGATGCGCCCAGAGGCGTGAAAAGGGATCTTTACTTTTACTTTACTTACTTACTAGTAGATGCAAAAGAAAAAAGTAGTACTGTGTCTCTTCTACATCTATGAACCAGTCAGTGCATTAAATTTTGTTTATCATCTTATTAGGACCAGTTTCAGCTGATTACGTTTCGCTAAATAACAACTTTTTAAAACGTGTAACCATATATGTCTTGGCATGGCTGACAACATACATAGAACTCCCAAATGGGACAAAGCGGTTCTACCACCTGAGGACAACATACACAAAACTTCTAAAGAGGACAAAAATTACAACAGATTTTGGAAACACATGCACAGAACCCTCCAAATAGGACAAATGCAGCACTACCATCGCAGAGCATACAGAGAACTTATAAAGAGGACAAACATAACAAAAGAACTTGGGGAAACATGCATACAATACCCATAGAGGACAAACAACTAAAAACTACTCACCATTTATAGGCATTGAAGTGAAAGTAGACCAAGCCCAGCCCATACAGAAACGCTGCATCCTGGGGAAATAGGCAAATGGTAAATAACAGAGTTGGTGGGTATAAACTGTTGAAAAAGTGGTTATTATTTTTTATGTCCTCTTCAGAACATCACAAACCAACACTAGTACTCATTGGCTGTTGTATGCTGGGAAGTCAAGGTGGCCATCTTAACACTGACTTTAATATTTGGAAATATGGGGGTTAACATAGACCCAATCAGATTTTTTTTCTAGAAAAAATAGTGCCAGTACTCACCATAAGATGTCTAATTAAAGGGGCAGGTATGCATTACTGTTACAGCAGTAATGAAAAAAATGATGCCTAAACAAAAAAGTGCTGATACTGCCTACCTTCAGGAAAAAAAAGGTCCTGTACCCAACACAGCTGATAGCCTGTAAAGGAGTCTGTTACCTGCACAATGGTGGACACCCGGAGAGGATAACTATGCCAACACATCCACTAAAAATTGAGATGTCACCCAAAAGGTTTAAATATCACAGCTCTGCTGTAAACAGACACAATACAACTATGCTCCCCATGAAAATAATACTGGAAGAAGGCAGCAGTGAACACAGACCAGCCCTCTACCTTGTATTCTTCATTCACTTTTAGTTACACATGTTTAAAAAAAGTCGGGAGATGTGAACCAGCGTGACTGCACACGGTTATAAACCATAAGTGCTCTGCCACCAGTACGGACAGCTGACAAGAAACTGTCCGCTTGTGTCGCTGTCCACACGTAACTCCATAGCTACAGCAACGTTCCTTCTTCTACCCCAGAGTGTCAACTCTGGTACCCATTTCCTAGAGGCTGGGTGAACCCCGGGAACCGCCGGTTTCAAACACCGACCGTGGCTGCAGCAAGTCGCAGCTGGATTTAAAAGCGAGCCTCCTTTCGACTGCGCTAATGCGGCTCTCGAAAGTTAGTTACACATGTACTACATGTTACTTTCTATGACATGTCTACAGTTAGCATGTATATCACTAACTGCTGTAAACAGACACCATGCAATTTTACGCTTAATCCCCAATTTGAAAAAAACGGGAAGAAGGCAGCGGTGAACACAGATCAGCCGTCTACCTTGTATCCTTCACTCACTTTTAGTTACACGTGTACTACACGTTACTTTCTAATATGTATATCCCCAGCTGCCGTATAGGTGAGGACAGGCAATGATTAATGGCATTCAACATCTGCCAGGCAGACAATGACTCAAGTGCACCGCTGATAAACTACACGTCTCAGAATTCAGTGGCTGAGTAATTCAGCTCACCCATGCTCTTCTTTGTCCTCCTCCTGCAACTGGGGACTGTACTGTATTCATATCATAATCATGTGCTAAGTCTTCTTCTTCAGCGATCTATTGTCATGTGCATAATCCACTGTGGGCCATAAACTGGCATGTTTTCTCAAATTCTCTTAGGTTTCCCCAAAGCTTAGTTGCCAGGACCACTGGCTGTGGTGGCCACATGATGTTTCGCAACTCCGTCAAGACATGTTTTGGAGTCTGTTCAGCACGAAGACAATGCAGTGAGTTGTTTAGCTCATACCTAATTTATATGAATATTTTGCCTGGCTCCCTAAAGTAGATGGTTAAAGGTTAAACCGGACTTCGCTGCAGCCAGGTAACAAACTCCTTGTGGTCCGGGTTCACGCTCGGAAGTAGGCAGAAAAGCCATATTTCTCCCAGATTTACGGTATCTATCATTGAATCAAGGCAGAAGGGTTGCGATATCCAGATTACCAAGCCAAACGGTTACAACTCATGGTTTCTGGATACTTAAAAGTGACTTAAGGGACACAACTTAGTATATGTTTTAACAAAATTTCTGATAAGAGTTACTGTCCCTAATAAATTTCAAACTGAAACCCAACTGAATTGACTTTGTTTTTCATTCTAGTCTCTAGACATAAAAAAAAAAGAGCATGTGCCACATATACACTACAGGGTTTATAAGGCATTTTATTCAATAAATACGTTTTCTGTAAAATACTGTTTTGGTGGTAATCATGGTAGGTTACTTGCTGTCTGTATGAACATCCCAGTATGTGGGTCAAACCCATTCGTGCTCCATCCTCCAATGCAGCACCCGTCTCAGTATCTCCATGTTCACTGTACCCACTAGAATTATGTGGGATGCAATTTTTTTATTTGAAGCCCCACCCTGGCTTCTGTCCTGAATACAGCCGTGCCATAAATATGGCCTTGGCCATAGATATGGCATAGCGGCTAAAAGGGGTTTCTGGGACCTCTTCATGGGTGATCCTCATCCGCATGGTGGCACTTTGTGTCATCGAGTGTTTATCGCTTCTGTGACGAACTGGTGGGGTACAACTACCTACCTACATACCCAGTAGAAGTTTGGACTGGCATATCTTCTTTTTCATTTTGTTTTAAATTCTCCACAACTGGTTTCTGCATGCTCGTCCTTGTTTAACACTTATCTCCAACAGAAAGTTCCCTGTCTGCGACCTTTACCTCGTCTCTAGATTGTGGCATATTCAGTACGTCTGCCTTGCACATACTTCTTCTTACCCTAACCACTGCAGACACTGCCAGCCTTTCAGCTCATTAATTGCCCCCCCCCCCCTTTTCAATATGTACGTGTGTGTCCAGTCAAGAGTTTCTTCAAGCTGTCAACCCCATTCTAGTAGGTGCATTTTCTGAAGCATCAGTCAATCAATCAGGTGCCGTCTCCACAGTGAGGGTTGACTGCAATGGATCTCCAACAGGCACTGTCTCTTTTCCTGGTTGTGCACTCTCTCTGACTGCTGCCTGTCCATCTCTTGATGTTTTTCTCCCACTTGTATCATTTTGCTCTCTTGCCTTCGACCATTCCCTCTAGTATGGTTTTTAAAAGTGTATTATGTCTTTTAATGTGGCCAAAGTATTTCAACTGTCTCTTATTTATTTACTTCAGTAATTTTCTTTTTATTTGTAGTCTTTACACAACCTCTGTATTGTACTTTTTTTTTTCTCCATGAAATATGACCAATTTTTCTGAATACCCACATTTCCATGGACTCAATTTGATTTTGTGGTATACATAAAATTATATAATTCTCATTTTCAGTGTGCTGTTAGTAATTTGTGCATCTGATTGAAGACAGTTTAAGCCACTCCTATTCTCTTTTTGATTTATGTTTCGCTTCTTCCATCACCTGTTACTACATGTCCTAGATAGGAGAAACTTGTTAATTGTTCTAATAGCTCTCTGTTTACTGTTGGCCGCTCGTTTCCAATGTTAATTAAAATAGTTTTTGTTTGGATAACAGAGCTATCCGTAAAGACAAGGACGTCACCTTGTCAAGTGTGCTCGTAAATAAGGACACCCATTTCAACCTCATGGTTATTGGGCTCCATTCTCGCAATATCGACCCACAGTGATTATTATCTCAGGTGCTCTTGCATTCTTTCTATTCACTCAGCAACAACCCTGACATGCTCCAGTGAGCTAATCTGGCAGGGTGTCCTCTGCTTCCGCCTTGCAGGACAGTCCACTCTTTAGGAACTTGCGAATGTTCACCCCATACACAACAGTGCAGAGCTGAGAGTGTTTTATGTCAGCAGCAACATCCAGATACACCTCCGCCATCTTTGTGTCTAGTGGCCATGTCTAGCAAGTTGTGGATATATCACAACACTGTTTCTTGACACTGACTCTGCACAACCTAGGCTGCTTTTTACAATGGTTTGTTTGGCTGGCTGCCTGGCTGTTTGATGACCGTTTAGATAGGTTTAGTTAGCAGGTTGATCAACCGACTCAATGGTTGGGTATCCCCCAAAATATTGAGGTTGTACTCTTAAATGAGGAGTGGCTAAAATTCTAGGTCTCGTGCAGGAAACCTGGGTTTGAATCCTCAGTAAAGTGATGGAATTTGTTTCAGTCGGGGCAAAAATTAACATCCTGACTGGACATTATCAGTTTGTGGCAACTGCATTATCACGTTAATTTGCTTGCTTAAGCTAATTCTGCCAGCTCATGATAATTCTCATTGCTCAAGATAATTCTCAATGCCCAGCAAGCAAATCAGAAACACTACTCACCTTCCAGTAATCTGGCTGGATCTGATGGAACTTCTGGTAGGCGGACATGGCTGCAAAAAAAAAACAAGCAAAATGAAGACAGAGTAGAACAGTTTAAAATTCCACGAGGGTGAAACGTTAACTCTTTCAGTACAAAGCTGGTGTTAACACTACCCAGCTCAATCCTCTGAATGTATTAATACAAGTAATCTATGTTTGGTTCAGAAGAGTTAGAACATTGTCTTTATGGAACAGGGTGAGTTAAAATAAGAACTGGGGTAGAATGAGTGTAACAGTCTGAAGGATCTTAAAACTGTTGTCCTGGGAAGACTAAATCTATATGGACATGGCTGTCTGCAGTGACCTGTTCTTGAAAAGCGTAGTTAAGTTCCTTTAGTCACACCTGTGCCTGTGCTGTGTTTAATAGGCCAGGATATCTACATAGCAAAGAAAAAATAAAATTTGAAAAAAGAATGGGTGAGAGGTGGGGGAGAGAGAGAGTTGGGACCTTACGACCCCAATGACTTTTTTGGGGGAAAGCCAAGGTATCAAATCATCCTGTAAGCTTCAGTGATAGAGGTCATGGGGTCATGGCATGGGTCACCCGATACATACTGCTTTTTATAGGCAGCAGGGAATGTATTTCATTTAATGATTCAATCTGTTACCGTTTACTGAGGGCATATCTTTATTATTAAGAACACAAATTAAAGAGTACATACATGATCAATGCAATTTTCAAACATTTATTAGTGACCTGTGTTTTGTAAAGTTGTTTTTTCTTCCAAATCTGTGAGTCTCTACGTGTTCATGCCTCATGTTTCATCATTTGCAGGGTTAGAGGGTTAAGGAGTTCAGAAAGTTGATCATATCAGTTGAAACTAGCAAATAGATGGTGTTTTACTTGGTACTGAATGCAGTAATTACTAACAAACTACAAACATCTATACAGAGTGCTTGCAGCGTCTAAGCCACAAACGCTGACTAGACATATATTAAAGTAAGTAAAAGTAAAGGACATTTTTCCACGCCTTTAGGCGTATAGGGCTAGACCCTAGACCAATATTTTATAGACCAATCGGCACAAGATGGGTGATGTGGTTTTTATCACGCAGGCTTCACCTGGTACCCACTCAAGGCTGGGTCGACCTGGGAGCCAAAGTCATTTTTTTTTAAAGTCTGTCTCCACCACGGAGGAAACCCACAACCTTCCGATCAACAGGCAAGCGTCTAGCTGCTCCGCCACGTAGACATATATCCAAACATTAAGCCATCCACAGCTGTAATTCTGTCCCAGAGGATGAACTTTCTTACCTTTAGCGAAGTCTTCAAGCAGCAGGTGTAGATGCCCCAGGTGACAATAAATATTTGGGTCCACATTGACTTTCTTCTGCAGCTCATTCCTCTTCTGGCTGTCCATGCTAGAGCCAGAACTGAGCCCTGCTGCTTTCATCTTGTCTTTAATAACCATATCGTAATAAGCGATACCCTGTAATAACAAGACGAGACACATCAGAAAAGGCTACATCTAAAGAATCAAACAACAAACACGTCACAAAGAGCTAAATCTAAAGAACAAACCAACAAACACATCATAAAGAGCTAAATCTAAAGAGGCAACCAACAAACACATCACAACGTGCAAAATCTAAAGGACTAATCAACACAGAAAAAAAAACACAACATAAAGTGCTAATCCAACTAAGAAGGTCATAAAGACCTCAGTCTGAAGAGCCAACCAAGACACCATAAAGAGCTCAATTTGAACAGCCAGCCTATAAACACATAAAAAAAGAGCTGAATCTGAACAGCCAACCAACAAACACATAATAAAGAGCTAAATCTAAAGATTCAATCCCCATGAGGTTTCCGGGGCCCAGTTGTGGGGAAAGCAAGAATAGACCCACTGCTCACCCAAAAGCATGTTGTAAGAGTCAACTAATTGGGAGCTTCCTTCAAAGGCAGAGTACATCTGCCAGAGAGGCAAGGAACTAACAGTCTGCATGCAAATGAGTCAGATCTGTGAAACGGATGTACACGCAACACTCAGGTTCTGGAACAGGACTAGAGTCTAGAAGTGGACAAACAACCAGGTCTTACTGTCAGAGCTTACAGCCAGTAAGCGCAAAGAAGAAGAAGAAGAATCAATAAACACATTACAAAGAAGTAAATCTTCTTCTTCTTTGTTCACCGGGAAGCTCCTGCGGAAAGTCCTGGCTGTTCGTCCATTTGGACTTTGGCTTTGTGCCAGGGCCTGAGTTTTGCATGTACATGCATTTTACTGGCTTTTTTGTGTCCATCTGGCTATTCCTTGTCATTCAGCCAGATGCACTCCAACTTCTAAGAAAGTCCCCAATTAGTAGACTAATATGACATGCCTGTTGTGGAGGCAGGGGATCTATTCTTGTTTACCCCACAATGGGGCCCCGGAACCCATACAGGGGGGGGGGGGGGGAGGGTTAAATCAATAATACACAGACATCACAAACTGCCAAATCTAAATTTTAAAATAATCAACATAAGCATGGGATTCTGCACAGAAAGAAAAACAGATTCACTGCATGTTGTAAAAAAGAGATTAATTAAGCTAAATTTGGGCACACTAAAATCATCAAAGAAATTAATATGCCGTACATAACAATAAAGTTGAGCTGAGCTGAGTTAAAAGCCAATATTACAACACTGTGGACATTTCCATAAGCTCTCCATCCTCATCTCAAGCAGCCGGCGCAGAGTTTAAATTCTGATGGTAGCAGTAGCAGTCTAACTGTATTACCCACATGTGTCAGAGCTTCAGCTGGCATGTGGATTTCTCTGAGAGATACCTCAGTTAAGTGATTTTGTGTTTTTCTGTTCACAACTGTAAAACTGTCTATCTAGGTAAAGTGCCAACGATGGCTTTCCAGACACTAAGTTCACTCGTAGTTTGTGAGTGTGACAAGGTGCAGCTGACTAGTTCTACTTCTCATTTGGTTTGATATCCTTTTATGATTGTATGCCCACCTTACCTTTCCTCTGAGTGTGGTATACATTTTAAGGTTCCTAGTAAGCAGACAATACTAGGGTGACCATTTTCTACCTGCAATGAAAGAACTTTTCCTATGGATTTGTTACTTAATAAGAACTGATGTCAGAGTTTTGGAGTACAAGCTCTACTCTCAATACTATCTCCTGCTGACAATAAAGACAGAGTGGAGGATTAGAGAAGATGAGGAAATGGCGAGAGATGAAGACATAACAATAAATCAGTGAATAAACATATGGTACAGTGCAATTCACCACAGATTCACAGTGGTTAGCATTCTTCTTTTTCCTTGTTCATCCAAGTGATGCCTATCTGCAGCATAGCTGCGATATCTGTGGCTTTCAATCGACACCTCTGACTTCACCTTGCGTTTTTTCACCAAATTAGCCTTTCCAGTTGGTTGTGTGGGACAGGATATAGCCTTATTTGCATACTGCCCTCTTTGTCCCTATCTACAGATGTTTCCCTGAAGAACTCATGCAATGCGACCATGTGTGGACAGGCAGAGGGAGATCATGGGCATTCCTCGTCATCCAAAGTGGCTTCCATAAATGCAGAGCTGTCACATGATGCTCTGGTCCTGGGCTCACCCAAGGAATCATCACATCCGGCATATGCATTTGACTGCCTAACCTCACATCTGTATGTTTAGCCTTCCACTCATCAGAAGCTGCTACCTTTAGAGATCAACAGGGAGCAGCCCACACAGGTCTAAGAGGCAAACTATTCAGGTATTCATAAACAGTAGTTTGAACTAGGAAATACGGCAGGCAGCCAGTAAGAGTCCAGTGTGGGTATGGGACACAACAGATGATAATAGTGAATATAATAGTGAATATCCATGTTGGTACTTAGTGACCGCAACATGACCGGGTAGCTCAGTGACAGGAACAGACGTCAAACAGAAATCCATGACGGAATGTGTTAATTGTTAATGTAGCCATGAGGACTGCATGGACTGAGGACTAACCTGTTGGAGTGAAACAAAACTAACGGACAGCGCGACTATCGAGGAGTTAGTTCCGGGACTTGTGGCCGTAATCTTGTGACTAGCTTTGACTGTTAGATTTCAGCGTGTATCGATTTAACTGTAGTGACGGGTAGTTCGTGTATTAATGTGTTTAAATGGACAATAGAATTAGTTCGTGTGTTGTTCAGTGTCCGAAAGAGTTAGTATTTTCTGTAGTGATTCATTTTGGTAGCTTGTTGTTATTGCAGTTATGCTGTTAGCAAGGCTGCTGTAGTATTTTGTGATCTGATCTTTTCTTGCAGGTTTTAGCCCACACTCTGCAGGTGCTCCATGGTTTCAATGTGGAGTCCAGTGGCTGAGAAAAGAATTTGGAATGAGAGTGGGGTGGGCTAAATCAGGTAGGATCTGTAGGACATGATGGCCTGACAGTGAGGGCGATTTTAAAGTTCTCACAGCCTCTGTTTAGGATCAGGGTTGCCCACCGCTTTTAAGGCGAACTGCCTGCAGTGTACTGTTCTGTTCATTAAAGATTAGTGTGTGTGTGCTTTGTAAGTGTTTGGCTTGGTATGTTTTAAAGTAGATTTTTACGAGCCTACACAGTGCTGTGAAGTTGAAACCTTGACTACTACTACTACTACTTCTAACTACTACTACTACTACTACTATCTACTAACTACTACTACTGCTATCTACTAACTACTACTACTACTATCTACTAACTACTACTAACTACTACTACTAACTACTACTACTACTACTACTACTACTATTACTATTACTATTACTACTACTACTACTACTACTACTACTACTACTACTACTACTAACTACTACTACTATTACTACTAACTACTAACTACTACTACTAATATTACTACTAACTACTACTACTATTAATACTAACTACTACTTCTACTATTACTACTACTACTAAATACTACTACTTACTACTAACTACTAACTACTACTACTACATTTTCTTCCAAGTTGGAAAACAATGTGCTACCTTTTGGATGAGCTGTCGTTTGCCACACTTGTCCCCATCTTCAAACTTGATATATCCATAAAGGCAGCTGCAGATGATGTATAATGTATGACACATAAGACACATAATCACAATAATGAAAACGTTTTACAAATCCTGATGGTCTACATAAGACTGGTTTGAGAGAGAGAGAGAGAAACAGGCAGACACAGACAGACTGAATGACAGAGAGAGACAGACAGGAGGGCAAAGAGAGAGACAGTTACAAATGGTGTATAATTTGTACACAAAATTATATTACTGAAAACATTTGTATAAATTTTACAAACATACAAGACTGATTAAAGAGAAACAGATAGATGGCAGAAGATGGTGTGTAACGTGTGCACATAATCTACATTATTAAAAATGTTAATTTTCCGTGGTCGTTAACTATAGACTACGAAACTACAGAACCGATTGCTTTCAAATTTTCACACAACATTGTCTTTGACTCAACGCATGTTTTTATGTAAGAAAATCGCACAAACCATGAATGACGTAGCTCCAGCAATGATCAAATCATTATTTGTTTCGTTGCCGGCCCGGATTTGTTTTTAGTTGATCAGCCACCTTTGACTGCTGAGTAGGGCTGCCAATAGATGCCTTTTCCCCCATGATCCGACATTTCTTTACCGATCGCTTTAAAATTTTCAAAGTTGCCTTAGACTCTGCGCGTGTTTGTATATATTAGTGTTGCACAAACCACGAATGACATAGCTCCTGCAACGATCAATTCATTATTTGTTTTGTTGCCGGCCCGGATTTGTTTTTAGGTGATTGGCCACCCTGGACTCTGAGCGTGGGTGTATGTGTGTGTGTGTGTGTGCGTGTGTAAAAAAAAACACTGAACTTCACCTTATTATATGATTTCATTTCTACTAAATGCTCGAATCCTTAGTAGCATAGTTGTAAGCATTCCGGCTGTCACGCCGGTGATCGGCGTTCGATTCCCCGCTCAGTGATATATAAATTTTTGTTTGGCCTTTAACTGGGCGACTGCCCCGTTATGTTGTGGTTTTTTAGCTAGCCTGAAATATTTACACCTTTTTTCACTCGATTTTGGGGTTTTTGTCTAGCTTGCGATAGCGGCGATGTGATGCTCAATGGTCATGTCACAGATAATCTTTGTTCGCCTTTGAGAGGGCGGTTGGCATGTTGTCTTGTGGTTTACAGCTAGGTTGCGATTTCTGCGCCTTTCGCCCAAAGACATCCGATTTCAGCAAAGTCCCAATTAGTCTTCCAGCCACGCTTCCCTCAATTAAAAAATTTTCATGGATTACAGAAACTGTTAGCTTTCAGTCGAGTTTGGTTTAGGTCGACACGGATGCCATGGTCAATTAAAAATCGTCCTTTAGAGAGGGAGAGATAACAGGTGCGAGTTTTCATTTCCGCTATTTGTGAATATAGTGTACTTTTTTTTAGTCATGGAATATTACTGTGGGTTCCATCACTGGTTAGGTGATGGAG